TCTATATAAAGACAACAGGGCTCAGAGGTGGAAAGAGCATGGTATGTTGGGAAAACTGAAAGGCAATTTGCAAGTGGAGCTGAGTATATTGGGGGGATGTAGCCCAAATGAGGCCAGATGGGCGGGGCAGGAATGGTGGCAGAAGCCTTGGGGGCCACGGTAAGGAGCCTGGATATTTTTTGTTTGTTTCAACTTTTGTTTTTATTATTATTTAGAAATCATTTCAGAGTTACAGAAAGGTTGCAAGAATAGAGCAAAAGACAGGTGTGTAGCTTTCCCCCCAAATTCACTGATTGTACCCAATTTGCTTTATCATTTGTTCTGTCTATATTGAAGGTATATCTAAATGAATTTTATTCTGAACTATTTGAGAATGAGTTGTGTAGATCCTATTCCTTTAACTCTAAATACAGTGTGTATTTCCTACCACAGTAGTCATCCACTTCACTAAATGGAACATTGGTGCAATGCGGATCTGATTTACCTCATATCTTGTCAACTGTCTCAATAATGTCTTTTGTATTTTGCATTTTCCCCTCTAGTAGTGGAAAGCTGTATTTCTCTTTAATCTGGAATAGTTAGCTTTTCTTCATCTTTTATGACATTGACATTACTGAAGAATGCAGTCTTCCTTTGTACTTTAATAGAGTGTTCCTTATTTTGGGTTTGTCTGCTGTTTCCTTGTTATTACATAGGGGTTGTTCACTCCTGGGTAGAAGACTGCATAAGTGATATTGTGTCCTTAGGGTAACAACTAGAAACACACAAGGTCATCCAGTTTCTGGGTTTTTTTTTTTTTTTTTTTTTTTTTAAGATTTTTGCTACGGGGTACATGCACTCACTGGAGAGACAAAAAGCGAGAAAGGGATGACCACACCACAGTCCCTTCTCCTCCATCCTCTTCTTGGGATTTTGGGCATGCTCATATACATGCCCCGTGTGTGTTTTAAGTTTCTGGGTCTGGGACTTGAACTGCGGTCGACTATGTGGAAGTCCAGCGACATAACCATTATGATGGTCCCACACACGATGTCTTCTATTCCTCCTTGGTGTTTGAATTTTTTTTTTTTTTGAGAGGTTTTCGCTATAGGGTGCGTGCGCTTGCCAGACAGACAGAGAAAGAGACATAGAGACAGAAAGCGAGAAATCACCCCCCAGGGGGGATGGTCACGCCACAATCCCTTCTCCTCCAGTCTCCTCTCGGGATCTTGGGCACGCATGCACACGTGCCCGGCGTGAGTTTTAAGCCAACGGGTCCAGGACGCGAACCGCAGTCGAAATACGTGGGAGTCCAGCGACCTAGCCATTACGCTAACTGCTGGTTCCCCGGTGTTTTTAATTTTGATCACCCAAACAAGATGTTGTCTAATTTCTCCAACCTATAGTTACAATTTTTCTCTTGTAACTAGTGAGAAATGGGGAAATGCTTTATCACCGTGAAGATATCCTATCCACATCAAAGGTTAAATAGCTGAGGTTTAACATCTATTGATGATTCTTGGCTGAGTAAATCTTTATCATAATGACTATGAAATGATAACGCAACTCCAGGACTCCCTCTGCACTTATTAGTTGACATGACATTTTTCTTCCCATTTGCTTACATATTTACATTATCAGTAGGGACTTTGTGATTTCATTTATAATATTTTCTATAAGGTATGTGCACACACCAGAGACAGAGAGAAAGCAAGAAAGTACACCCCCACCCCCCCACCGAGAGGATGGCCACACTACAACCCCTTCTCTATTTTCTAATTCTATGATATTAACCTTTAATATTTTGGTGTGCACATTGTCCCAGATTTGAACAGTGGGGGGCTCTTAAAACTAGAAGCCTGGCTTTCATTTCAACTTCAGTGGAGTGGCGTAATTGAATTTGCATATAAGCCCACCCTGACTGAGCACCAATGAGGAAGCAGGGAGACCCATTAGGAGACCCTTGTGTAGTTCAGGTGGAAGATGTGGCACAGAGGTGGTAAAAGCAGATGGATGTAGGAAGAAAATCGGAGGCGGAATCAGCAGGACTCACCTACTGGTGGACTGAATGTTTAAGCAGAGAAGCTTGCGGCGGGGGTGGGGGGCAGTGGTCAGGACTGACTGGAGCAGCTTGTTCACAGTGATGTGGAAGGTTTACTGATATGGGGAAACAAGCAGAGTCAAGGGAATTGGGTAGAGTCAATGTGTCAGACATGTTGACTTTGAAATGTCTTTTTTTTTTTTTAAAGAATTATTCTATTTTATTTGTTATTATTTTTAATTTGACTAGAGAAAGACAGAGAGAAGAGAGAAAGGGACAGTGAGAAAGCAAGCTTCCAGGTCCAGGATTCAAACTGTGGTAGGCCATGTGGGAGTCTAGCACCTTAACCACCATGCCACTTGCTAGCCCCCCTCCTTTTTTTAAAGAGGGATTTTTGCTATAGGATATATGCGCTCTCTGGAGAGACAGAGAGACAGAAAGTGAGAAATCACCCCTTGGGGGAATGGCCATGCCACAATCTCTTCTCCATTCTCCTCTCAGGATCTTGGCCGTGCATGCACACGCACCCGGTGTGAGTTCAAAGGCGCCGGGTCCGGTACTACGTGGGAGTCCAGCAATGTAACCATTACACCATCTGCTGGTCCCAGAGTCTGGGATGTCATGAACATTCAATGATCTTTGGCATCCAAATGAAGGTATCAAATAGACAACAGAATAGATGATTCCAGAGCTTCAAACCAGAAGTAAATTTGGGAGTTGCCACATATAAATGATTTTTCACTCCACAGTTTTGGCTGAAATGCTGCATGGGGAGAATGTGGAGGGGGAGTGATAGGGGGCCCGACTGGGACTCCTGAGAGAGTTTGCTGCTTGGGGGGAAGAGGGGAGTGTAGCAGAAAATGTCAACAGAGTGGTCTGTGAGGAACCAGATCACATGGAACCTGGAATGTCAAGCTAAACCCTGAACACCGAGGAGCCATTGAAGAGACCTGAGGAGGGGAGTGTGTGGTGGATATCATTTAAGTTTTAGAAAGCTTGTTCTGACAGCCAAGTAAAGATAATCCAGAGAGACATGGCAGTGGCTGATGCTGCGGTTCTTTCTAAAGTAAACTTGTTTCTTGTCATTGGGGATTGCTCAGATGGTCTCCATGCCGGGAATGCCCTCTCCATGTTTATCTGAGCACAAAAAAAGAAGATCAGGGACCAGCAGTTGGCGTAATGGCTGTGTGTTGCTGGACTCCCATGTAGTTGACTGTGGTTTGAGTCCCGGACCTGGTGGCTTAAATTCACACCGGGCACATGTGCGTGCGTGCCCAAGATCCCAAGAGGAGAATGGAGGAGAGGAGATCACTGCATGGCCATGCCCCATGGGGGGTTATTTCTCGCTTTCTGTCTGTCTTTCTGTCTGTCTGTCTCTCTCTCTGTCTTTCTTGTGAGCACATGAGCCCTGTCGCAAAAAATCTCTCAAAAAAAAAAAAAAAAAGGCAAGAAAGATCAAAACACCTGTCTCAACTGCACTTATCAGCTCCAGGTAATGTGATTGCAGCCCCCCCCACCTCCCTGACTCATTTTGTCTGGAGCCACACAACTTGCTCAAGGGCCTTTCCTAGCCAAGTGTGATACAGGTGTGTGTACATGGGCTATCCCCGACGTTTGCTGGAATCTGCTTAAGGAATGCGATCTTCTGCCCTGGCATGCTTTGAGTTCACTGCTGTGACATCAGACAACCCTCCCGTTCAAACCCGTATGTCGTTTCTTCCCCATTCCCCGCATGCCATGAAGATGGGTCAGGTGAACACCCTAGTGCGACTTCTTACCGGGTTGACTTTGTGCAAAAAACCTGCAGTCCTGTCTATGGGATGCTGACAGCCCATTGGCAGTCATAAATAACCAAAGGAAGAACTTTTAAGAGACCAGGGGTAGAGGCAGATGCTCTGGTAGCCCAGTAAAGTCAAGATTATTTCTAGCTGGAAAAATGAAGGCCAGAGCCTGAAGAAGGAAGCACGTGAACTAAGCCTTGAGGGTAGGAAAGACTGTTCTATTACACTAAAGAAATATTTGGTTATTCAGTATAATAAAAAACAAGAAGGGGCCAGCAGATGGCATTAATGGTTATGTTGCTGGACTCCCACGTAGTCGACTGCGGTTCAAGTCCCAGACCTGGCAGCTTAAAACACGTTGGGCACATGTGTATGCATGCCCAAGACCCTGAGAGGAGAGTGGAGGAGAAGGGATTGTGACTAGGCCATCTCCCCTGGGGATGATTTCTCACTTTCTGTCTTTGTCTCTCCAGTGAGCACATGTGCCCTATAGCAAAAATCCCTCTTGAAAGAAAAAAGAAAGGAAAAAAGAAAAACATCAAAGCCTTTCTTTTTTTTTTTTTTTTTTGAGTGTTTTTTTTGCTATAGGGCCTGTGTGCTCGCCAGAAAGATAGAGAGAGACAGAGAGACAGAAAGCGAGAAATCATCCCCCCAGGGGGGATGGCCACGCTGCAATCTCTTCTCCTCCATTCTCCTCTTGGGATCTTGGGCACGCACACACATGCTCCTGGTGTGAGTTTAAGCCACCAGGTCCGGGACTCGAAGTGCAGTCAACTACGTGGGAGTTCAGTGACATAGCCATTATGCTAACTGCTGGTCCCCTTCATAGTTTATTGACATGGCTGCCTGCACAGTATTTCATTATCCTTTTTAGTGGTCCTGTTATTGTTGGACTAATACATTCCAGGTCTCATGACACTGGTTTGGGGTATATGACTGTGCAATGGGGACAGAAGCAATTCTGGGGACCAGGTACAACTCAAGAATCAGTGCTTGAGTGTCCCGACCTGGGGGACAGTTGAACAGGTTTCCTGAGGGAAGGAGTGAGAGATGGGATGAGACAGCGACATCCAAGAGATGGGATGAGTCAGGGTCATCCATTTATTGTGGGTAGCATGGAGATGACACAGTGTTACAACTCTTCAGGGTCGTCCAGAGACGACGCAGTGTCACAGCTCTTCAGGGTCTTCCAGAGACAACACGGTGTCACAACTCTTCAGCGTCATCTGGGTCGTCTGTCGATTGTGGGCCAGGGATTATGGTTATATACATGTTGGTGGGCCGCGATTGGTTGTAAAAAGTAGGTTATGATTGGTTGTAAAAAGGTGGGTTATGATTCGTTGCTTTGTGGACCAATCATGAGGTGCTGTATATGCAAATCTGAGGGATTCTAGTGGCCAATCAGAGTATGGTTTTGAAGGTGAGGTTTTTGAAGGGAAGCCAGTCATGGCTTTTGGCATGGTGTAATTGTTTGCTCTCTGAGAAACCAGCGATATTCGCTGGTGCGCAGCCTCCCACACTTGGGCCCATCCACTTGTTCTTCCGTTGAGCAAAGGCGTACTAAGGACTCAGTGCCTACCAGTAACTGAAGATACATTGAGCATCTGGACGTGATTCTTGTCCTGTCAAATCCAGGATGCCAGGGAGTTGTAAGTAGAGCAAAACGTAGAGTGCCGCAGTAGAGATGCAGAATGTACACGGTGTGGTGATGACAGAGAAGAGAGGTGGAGGCAGCAGAAGCCCCGGGAGTAGATGAGAATACCAGGCAGAACACGAGCTGCAAGAAAGGGTGAGGAACATGTCTGAGGACCCCGTTCCCATGGATGCTATTAGATACTTCTCTGTGTACAGGCAGAAAGCACACCCCACCTACGCTTAGGCTTCTGGGTGTTTGTTTTTTCTGTTTTCTATTTTAAATGTTCTCAGTCTCCTGTTTGGGGAGGAAGGCTTTTTATATTATTTTCCAAAAATCTCAGCTTGCATGCTTCATTCATTTATTTTTCTCGTTTTTACATTAAAGTATTTTAACGCTATTAATCTGCTTCTGCAGATAGCTTTGGCTGTTGATCTGACTTTTCATTAGATTCGAAATAGTCTGTTTTTTATTCTTGATTTACTTTTTGTCCTAAAAATAATTTGAGATGGGGGCCAGCAGGTAGCATAATGGTTATGTCGCTGGACTCCCATGTAGTCGACCGTGGTTCGCATCCTGGACCTGGTGGCTTAAAACACGCTGGGCGCGTGTGCGTGCGTGCCCAAGATCCCGAGAGGAGAATGGAGGAGAAGGGATTGCGGCGTGTCCACATCCCATGGGGGTGATTTCTCGCTTTCTATCTCTCTGTCACTCTCTGTCTGTCTGGTGAGCGCGCACCCTATAGTGAAAACCTGTGGGAAGTTGCACACCAGCGAGTCTGCCGAGGTTTCTCAGAGAGCAAACAATTACCATGATTGGTTCCCTTCCAAAAACCTGACCTCCCAAACCTTGCTCTGATTGGCCACTAGAATCCCTCAAATTTGCATATCTAGCACCTCATGATTGGTCCAAAAGCAACCAATCACAGCCCACCGTTTACAACCAATCACGGCCCACCGTTTACAACCCACCAGAGTGTATATAACCACGATGCCTGGCCCACAGTAGCCGGACGATGACAGCAACCAGGAAGACGACAACTGAAGATCCTGAAGAGCTGACACTGCATCGTCTCCAGACGACCTGGGAGACCCTGAAGAGTTGTAACACTACATCGTCTCCGGACAACCCTGAAGAGCTGTGACACCACGTCGTCTCCATGCTGCTCACAGTAGACGACGCAACCCTTAAGAGCTGTGACACTGCGTCGTCTCTGCTGTACCGTGCTGCCCACAATAAATGGACGACACTGTCGTCTCTGTGCTGTAACACTACGCTGCTTGTCCCGGCTCTCACTCCTTCACTCAGGAAACCTGTTCGGCTGTCCCCCCGGGTCGGGACACCTGGCACCCGAACAGGGACGGGACAAAAACCTCTCAAAAAAAAATAATAATAATAATAATTTGAGATGATATTTATGTTTTTAAATTTATAAGTGATGTGTCTTATATTACCGTCAGTTGTATATTACTTATATTGTTGTACATTTTGATCAGATAATGGTTTCTAGAATTTCTACTTTTCAAAATTTACCAAAATAGTTTCTGTAGATTAATATTTATTAAGTTCATTGAATTTTGTCACTGTCCATGAAACTTGAAAAGAGTGTACTGTTTTTTTGGTGGGAAATTTTTTTGTATGTTCATATCTTCTATGTCCTTATTTATTTTTGACTACTTGTTTAGGAAAGGTGTTAGAATATTTCCAATAAAACTTGTTTCTCATGTCCTTCCTTGTAGTATTAAATAATTTCATCAATTTTTATTGCTTAACACATAAAATATTAAACACCCTGGGACCAACAATTGGTGTAATGGTTATGTTGCTGGACTCCCATGTAGTCGACCGCAGTTTGAGTCCCAGACCCGGTGGCTTAAACTGGCGCCAGGTGCATGTATGTGCGTGCCCAAGACCCCGAGAGAAGGGATTGCAGTGTGGCTATCCCCTCTGGGGGGGTGATTTCTCACTTTCTGTCTCTCTGTCTCTCTCTGTCTTTCTGGCAAGCGCACCCACCCTATAGCAAAACAAACAAACAAACAAAACAAAAAAAAACCTCTCCAAAGAAAATATTAAACCCCTTCACTGTTAATCACAGCTTTTAATTTAAAAAAAAATTTATATATATTTTTTTTCTGTAAGGCTCATGGCCTGGCCAGAGAGAGAGAGTGTGTATATGTGAGGGGATGGGGGGATGCTTTCTCACCCCACTACAGGGGATGACCAGTCTGCAATCCCTTCTCCTCTATTCTCCTCCATTTTCTTCTTGGGATATTGGGCGCACATGTATGCATGCGTCAGGTGTTTTATCAAGATGCCAGGTCTAAAAACCCGAGTCACAGTCAATCTACTCACCTTAACCACCATGCTACTGACTGGCCCTATTTATACTTCTTACAGTGAGGTTAAGACCTCGGGCTCTCTGGGGCTAGACAGTAGTATAATTGTAAAAGTGACACTGTGCAAGGCTGACCCACATGGGAAGGTTCTAGGCTTGTATCAGGGGATCTCCTTTAGTTTGCCAGGCATGCGTGTGCCATGATCTGGGACTCCGAGGCTGGGGGTGGATTGTGGTCCCAAGGCCCTGTTCAAGGTTGCTGTCTCTTTCTCTCATTTTGTGTCTCTCATGAAAGAAAGAAACTTTTTTATTGTTGTTCTTTAAAAAAACATTTATGTATGTATTTGTCATGATTTTTTTTTTGGAGAGGCTTTCACTATAGGGCGCGTGCGCTCACCAGACAGACAGAAAGAGACATAGAGACAGAAAGCGAGAAATTACCCCCCAGGGGGGATGGTCACGCCACAATCCTTTCTCCTCCATTCTCCTCTTGGGATCTTGGGCACGCACTCACACGCGCCCGGAGTGAGTTTTAAACCACCGGGTCCGGGAGGCAAACCGTGGTCGACCACGGGGAAGTCCAGCGACATAGCCATTATGCTAACTGCTGGTTCCCCTATTTGTCATGATTTTCAAGTTGCCCTGTCCAAGAATCAAATACCAGTTAGCCATGTGGGAATCCAGCACCTTATTTTAACCAACATGCCACATGCTGGTCCTTATTGTTGTTCTTTTCTTTTCTTTTTTTTTTTTTTTTTGGAGAGGTTTTCGCTATAGGGTGTGTGCTTTTGCCAGAGATGGAGTGAGACAGAGAGAAAGTGAGAAGTTACCCCTGGGGGGATGCCCATGCCACAGTCTCTTCAATTCTATTCTCCTCTCGGGATTTTGGGCACATGCGCATGCACACTGAGTATAACAGGGTATGTGTGCGTGTGTGCCCAAAATCCCGAAAGGAGAATGAGGAAGGGATTGCAGTGTGCCCATCCCCCCGGGGGATGATTTCTCGCTTTCTGTCTCTCTGCCTCTCTGGCATGCACCCATGCCCTAGAGCAAAAATCTCTCTAAAAGAAAAATGAGATAAAGTTTAGAGGCTGAATAGGACATATGCCTCCAGTCCTGTCACATGATGGCCAATTTCAACTTGGGAAAAATAGTTGTTCCACAGGAGAGCTCTCTGCTGGTGTAGACACCCTTCCCTGGCCCTTCACATCCTCGGCCTTCATCCGTGTTCTGCCCGTAGCCACTGTTCTTGTAATGCCTTCCCATAGGCCGCCATCCAGCTTTAATCAAGATTTGGAATAAAGATCCTCCCAGTAGTTAAAATAGAAAAGATTTCCAGGAGTCCATGGTGTAATGGGTAGCACTCTGGACTCTGAAATAGAGATTTCCCCAGTCGGCTCCACCGGCCAGCGGTAATGCACTGCTCAAGAGAAGCTGGATCCCTGGGACTAGCAGTTAGCGTAGTAGCTATGTCACTGAACTCCTATGTGGTTGACCGTGGTTCGAATCCTGGACCCGGTGGCTTGGACTCCCACCGGGCACCTGTGTGTGCATGTGCGAATGGAGGAAAAGGGATTGCAGCGTGGCCATCCCGTTTGGGAGGGGTGATTTCTCGCTTTCTGTCTCTCTGTCTCTCTCCATCTCTCTCTTTCCAGCGAGCGCACGTGCCCTAAAGCAAAAAAAAAAAAAAAAACTCCAAAAAAAAGGAGAAGCTGGATCCCACATAGCCTCGACAGCCTGGTTGGCCTGAAGCACACCTAAAATGGGGCAAGCTGGAGGACTGGAGGGAGATTTCAGCTTGACCAGATCTTATGCAGGGTGACCACCTCTCTTTCTCTTTCTCTGTCTCATTCTCCCTGAAGTGCAGTCGCACTTCATCATGAGTAAAGAAAAAAATGGATTTAAAATGTAAGTTGAGGGGACCAGCAGTTAGTGTAATAGCTATGTCGCTGAACTCCCAGGTAGCTGACACAGGTTCGAGTCCCGGACCCGGTGGCTTAAACTCACTCCGGGCACGTGTGCGTGTGTGCCCAGGATCCCAAGAGGAGAATGGAGGAGAAGGGATTGTGGCATGGCCATCCCCCCTGGGCGGGGGGCGGTTACTTGCTTTCTATCTCTCTGTCTTTCCAGCGAGCGCACGCGCCCTATAGCAAAAACGTCTCCAAAAAAAAAAAATGTAAATCGGATGATGTCATTCTCCCGCTCAAAACCAGGTAGTGACTAGCCATTTCCGAGTAAAACCTCGCATGCAAGGTCCTGCAAGATCTCTCCTCTCCCCTTCCTAACACTCCTTCCTCCCTAGCTGCGGAATTCTTCCCCTGGCAATGCTTCAGGATTGCAGCCCTGCTCTTCTCCCAGATACCCGTGGCCTCGTCATCTAGCCTCCTCCATTCTTTGCTCAGCTCTCACTTCCTCACTGCCCTCACCTGGCCATCTAACGATGTAACCTACCCTGCTTCCGTCCCCCTCCCCCGTTGCCTTAGAACCACCTTCTAACACACTGCGTATTGTCTCTTGTTAGACTGCAAGATCCCAAAAGGCGGGGATCTTTGTTCTGCTCACTGAGAACACTTAATGTAGCGCCTGGCACACGACAGGCGCTAACTGAATAGTAAGTGTAAACAGTAAACGCCTGCATTCCTCGCAAGACTAAGTATAACTGACAATATCGAGTGGTAGGACCCGGCATTCTTGGACTCCCATACCGTCACCCACGTCTCAGAGAGTAGCTACTTTGAATTGTAAACACCGTATTTTCGGCCCATCTAAGCCCTTTCTCTGCTCAGCTTCTTCAAAGTGTGCGTTTCAGGGTCACTGGACTCGACCTGGGCAAAGTCCCCACCAACAACCGCTCAAAACGCGCGTCCTTTTCGCTCATTAAGGGACCTCCTTTTTCTGAATGTACACAGCGGCGGGTCGCGGCCAGTTTACTTAGGTGAGCGGTAAGGACGGGACGGTTGCCTAGGTAACCGCACAACTTCGGCCCCTGGAGACTCAAAGGTGAGGGGTGTGAACGCGAATGCTCCGCCCTATCGCTATACGGCCTGGGATTGGCTCGTTTCTGTAAAGCCACGCTCCCAGCCCGGGCTCCAGCGGCGCCACAGTGGGCTGCAGGGGCTCAGTTCGGAGAAGTACCTGGAGGGGGCGCCCTGCCTCTCCTGTCGCGGCTTCGGCGTGAGGAAGGAAACCTGATGACCTGGGCGTTTGCCCCGAGTTCCTGCTGGGAAAAGTGCCTCTGCCCCTGGGGGCCCCTGAGACCACAGGTTATCCAGTAGTTGTTCAGGCTACCGTGCGAACCCGAGGTTTGAATCGAGGTTCATCAAATTCCCGGAAATCTTTGCCTAGGGCTGGCCCCTAGTCTAAGCCGCTGTTGAAGAAGGGATTGGATTCACTGGATGATCTTCAAGGAGCCTGCCCCATCTGAAAGGCCCTGTTCTTCATGGAAGTCCCCCGAGCCTCGGCTTCCTCAATTGTAAATGAATGACTATTCCGGGGAAGCCCAGAAATGATCCAAGGCTCTGGCACTCACTTCCTGGGTGACTTAGGCAAGTCACATCCACTTCTGGGCTTGTTTCCTCATTTTATAGTGAAGGGATTGGACTAGATGTCCTTTCAGGGCCTTTGTAGTTCTCCTTAGCTATGGAACAGCCTTGAGAACGTGGGGAAGCTTCTTTGTAAATGTTTGACATGTTACACAAACTATGAGCGAGACGCTGTTTCCTTGGCTAGTCTCATTTTCCGGAAGTTCTAGGAAAGAAGGAAAGGAAAGGTCTAGGGAATAGAGACTGTCCACAAATGCCTGAAATCCTACCTACAACTCAGGAGGTGACACTGGAGACATGAGAAAGAACCCAGGCTGGGACCAGCAGATGGCCCAGCAGTTACATCGCTCCCACGTGGCCAACCATGCCTGGTTCAGTCCAGACCCATGGCTTGAAAATCAGGCTGGGCTTATATACCTTTCTTCATGTAGCTCATGTAGCTTTCTTCAAGTGTTTTATTTCTGGAGGCACTCTTGAAGGGAACATTTGACTAGTTCATGCAGTTATGTATTAAACATCTACTTTATATCTCTACTAAAAGTGCATCTCTTCAGAGAAGTCTCCCTGGCCAACCTGTCCAAAATTCCAACATCTTCCTTGACCCCAACACTTCCTAATCCCTTTCCCCACTCCAGTTTTCTCAATGTTTTCTATGTGTCATCTTTTTTTTTTTTTTAAGAGAGATTTTTGCTATAGGGCTCATGCACTAGCCAGAGACAGAAAGTGAGAAATCATCCCTCAGGACCAGCAGTTAATGTAATGGCTATGTCGCTGGACTCCCGTGGTTCGTGTCCCAGACCAGGTGACTTAAAAACTCACGCAGGGCGCATGTGTGTGCATGCCCAAGATCCCGAGAGGAGAATGGAGGAGAAGGGATTGCGGTGTGGCCATCCCCTCTGGGGGGTGATTTCTCGCTTTCTGTCTCTATGTCTCTCTCTGGCTTTCTGGCGAGCGCGTGCTCTATAGCAAAAAAAAAAAAACAACCCTCTCCAAAAAAGAAATCAATCCCTTCTCCTCCATTCTCCTCTCGGGATTTTGGGCACGCACACACACACACATGCATGCACGCACACCACATGCACATGTGCCTGGTGTAAGTTTTAAGCCTCCTGAATCATGACTCAAACCACAATCGACTACGTGGGAGTCCAGCAACATAACCATTTCATGATCTGCTGGTCCTGTTAGGTGTCTTCTTTAGAAGAATTTAACCTCTATAAGGGCAGGAATTTGTGTGTGTGTGTGTGTGTTTAACTTTTTTATTTAGAGGTTTCCACCTTAGGGTGTATGCATGGGATGGGGAGGATGGGATGAGAGGACGACAGAGACAATGAGAGGGAAAGTGAGAAATCACTCACCAGGAGTGATGGCCGTGCCACTATCCCTTCCCGTTCTCCTCCCGGAATCCTGGGCTTTCACATGCACCCGGCTTGAGTTTCAAGTCACCAGGTCCAGGACTCAAACTGCAGTCAGCCCTGTGGGAGTCCAGTCACATAACCGCTATGCCATCTGCTGTCCCCTTCTTCTTTTAACGTTTATCTATGTTTTTTTTTTTTCACAGTGGTAGCTACAGTGCCTAGGAGACCCCAAAGTAGTCAATGAAGTATTTATTGAATGAAGGAGTGGAAGAACCTACTATGGGTTGAGCACTTTTGAGATGGAGGAAAGCCATTAAAAGACTATTCTGTAAACCTGACAGATTTGTGGCTAGGCAAACAGGTTCTTTTCTCCATCAGATGACCTATCTGAAAGAACTCTGGGTGGGGGGGAGTGGAGTGGGGAGCTGGACAGTCGCGCAGCAGTAAAGTGCTCACCAGGCTGACCCACATGGGCAGTTTCTGGGTACATGTCTAGAGACCTGCCTGAGTACACTAGGCACCTACTTGCCCATGGTCACTTGTCCATGATCAGGTCTGGCTGAGGCCAAGGATAGATTGTGGTGTCAAGATCCTATCTGGGGAGGGGGGATTTCTCTCTTTCTCTGTGTCCCACTCATAAATGAAAGAAAGAAATAAACTTAAAAAAAAAAAAAAATAGAAGGGACCCAGCAAGTTCCATGGTGGTAAAGGTGGCTAGATCCCACATGACCAAATAAGTGGTTTCAGTTCCAGATCTGGAAGCTTGAAAAACACACCTGTGGGACCAGCCATTGGAGTAATGGCTATGTCGCTGGACTCCCATGTAGTCGACAGTGGTTCAAGTCTCAGACCCGATCACTTAAACTCACGCGGGTGCATGTGCGTGCGTGCCCAAGATCCCAAGAGGAGAATAAAGGAGAAGGGATTGTGGCATGGCCATCCCCCTTGGGGGATGATTTCTCGCTTTCTGTCTCTCTGTCTCTCTGGCAAGCACAAGTACCCTATAGCAAAAACCTCTCAAAAAAAACAAGGGGTGGGGAGGAACCAGCAGTTAGCGTAATGGCTATGTCGCTGGATTCCCACGTAGTCGACTGCGGTTCGCATCCCAGACCCGGTGGCTTAGAACTCACGCTGGACACATGTGCGTGCGTGCCCAAGATCCCAAGAGGAGAATAAAGGAGAAGGGATTGTGGCATGGCCATCCCCCTTGGGGGATGATTTCTCGCTTTCTGTCTCTATGTCTCTCTCTGTCTGTCTGGCAAGCGCACATGCCCTATAGCGAAAACCTCTCAAAAAAAAAAAAAAAAAAAAAAACAAGGGGCTGGCAGGCGGTATGGAGGTTGAGGCGCTGGACTCCCACATGGTTGGCCAAAGTTCAAGTCCTGGACCTGGTGGCTTGCTTTCTCACTTTTTTTCTCTCTCTCTGTCTCTGTCTCTCTCTCTCTGGTCAAATTGGAGGGGGGGAGATGATAATAATAAAAAAATAAATAAAATAAATAATTAAAGAAAAAACACACACACAAAGTCTGTGTGTGCCGGGGTCCAGCCTTGGCGGGGGTGGGTTGACTCGACGGAGGCGGC